TTAGGTTAAACGATATGTTTATACCGGGTGGTACTTTTAACGCATAACGCCAGTTTTCTCTCAAAATGATTAATATTTTGTAAGTTTTCTTTTTGAAAATATTTTTGTTTATGCTAACACCATTAAAAAGAGTCTTTATACAACAATTTAATTATGATCTTTATGAATAATTTAATTAATTATTTGAAAGAAATAAACAAGTCTATCACACTTTCAATATGTTTTCCTCAGTGTAGTTAATATAACAAGATGCTATACGACCACTATACTCAAGAACACACAATATAAGGAATGGAAATTTGAATAGAGTCGCATATATTAGACCACGGTTGCATGGAATCCACGAACACCGTTAATATCAATTTTGACTCGGCTAAGACGTATTACTTTATAACAGAAATAAAAAATTAAAAGATTTAGGATAAGTTATTACTTACAAAGTCGCCCGACCAGGAAACGTGCGAGGATAAGATTAAAAGTTAAAACTGTTAGTTAAAATTATCAATGAGATTGTGCATATCGAACACAGTTAAATATTGAAGTATGGACCACTGTTAAAAATGCACAATCTTATTTCTAAAGATCAAAATATGACTTTAATAAATCTCCCCGGGTATTTCTGCTATCTTTCTCCATATTACCTCAAGATACCCCAAGAGGTCCCTTACGCATTTTATTATATGCTCAACTAATTATTTTTTACTATTCACGTGTTTATATTAACCTTAAAATGTTTGTTTATAATGCCCATATTGTTTTAAGGAATTATTAAATAATTAACCCTTAATATTACTTAGTAAATCGCTAAATTAATATTCTTATGTTTCTGATTTAAAAAAATGTCACCTCACCTGAGTATATTTCTGGCAAATGTTTTTTCGACAAATTTTTCTGGTTGCGGTGTTCATATCATGTGATTCTGTTTTGTGATGGTCTATAAGCCTTTTGGATGTAAATATTTTGTTACACTCGTTGCAAACAAACCACTGTATTGAGTAGGAACCATCCTTTGCCGTTATCTCATCCAAAAGCAAATTTTTTTCAATTTCCACAACAGTTTCGAGGCGACAACCATTTACTACATCTATTTCTTCAACTTTCACTTTAGGCTCGTTGCACGGTTCTTTAACACTAAAAACAATGTAAAACAATGAGTAACAAGTATATTCAGTGCCTGGATTAAGTATTATTATTAGATTAAACAATATGTTTATACCGAGTGATTCTTTTAATGTCTAACACCAGTTTTCTCTCAAAATGATTAATATTTTGTAAGTTTTTTTTTGAAAACTACAATATTAAACAATAGTCAAATTTGTATCTTTTTTAGTTTAGCTTTGGGTTCATTGCATGATTTTTAAATACTAAAAAAGATGTAATTTAAAGTGTAATTGATATAATAACTGCCCAGGATAGGTTGTTCACGGTTAAACAATATATATATATATATATATATATATATAGGTAGATATACATATACATATTATATAAATGGAAGTGTTTTTAAGTGAATTCGCGTTTATGGTGGTAGATAGCTTTTGGTAACATACCGATCATAGGAAAGTTTGGTCGCGTTCGCTTTGCGTTGGTGGGTGTTAGAGGCAAAAATATGTAAGGTAAGTAGTCGGGCTCAATTCTATACTTGAGATTATGATGATTTATGATTTCTGTATTTAAAAATTCATTTTTTTATAACTAAATACATGAATAAACTTGAATCAATAGCTACAATTGTATGCAGAAGACCCAAGTGATACATTTATTTTCTGATATATTGTACACAAGTTATAACCTCAAGAACAAGATCTTTGAATTCACAATTCACAGTTTGAATAATCTATATTAGAATCGACAAAAGTATACAATGTAGCCTTCAGCAACCAATGCAAACTCTCCTTTCTCTAAGAAAAAAAATAGGCATATTCCAAAACCCCGGCGAAGCCAGTATATATACTAGTTGCCCTTTGCCAATTTTTAAAAGTAAACAAAGTTCTGCAATAGTATTTTAAAATAATTAAATTTAATAGAATGTGGTAATTGAACTTTCTATTCTAATACACAGGCAATGTCGGGTCGGGACAGCTTGTAATAATATAAATAATAATAACATTGTCAATGTCTTAATTGAATAAACACTGTAAATATTTTACTTGGTAACTTCTGAGTTCAAAGGACCTTTGAATTAAAGAAAATGTTATTGCTATAATAATAATTTTACTCTTTTCATAGGTACCGAGATAAAATTGATGAAAAATATGTAAAGCTAACTTTAAAACACTATTATACTTCTAAAAAATCTCCTAAGTCAAATATCCAGAAAAAAAATGAATACCCAAGTTTAAACTCATCATCATCATGTAGTACAACAGGCTTTGAATGCGCAATGATAACATTGTAAGATAGTTTCTTGACAACTTCGCTGTTGGGATGGTTCGTCAGTCTGTCACTGTAGAGGAGTAACGTTTTCTTTTCACAAACCAACTGCTTGCTTGCAAATAGTACCGCAAGACCAAATGTCAAACCAGCGATAATAAATGCTAACCCACATAACCCGCTCTGCCATTAGACCATCTCAAAAACTAATAAAATAGCAAAACACTCCTATGGTTGTTTAACTTATACATTAAGTAGTGATAATGGTTTTTAATGATTTTTTTATCACTATTTACCTTAAAATGAACTCAGTTGTGACGTTAGTCTATTGTATTTCAGTTTGAACGAAAATCTAACCCTATCAAAACGGTCAAAACAAATAATAATTACTTGCTCTAAAACTCATTATAAAGTTTCGAAACAACTATCACGGTTTAATATGAAATTTTAATATTCTGCCATAGAACATTTTAAAAACTATTAATATGGCAAAACAACTCCAATGATAGTTTAACTAATAAATTTAGTATTAATAGCTGATTTTTTTTTTATCACTATTTACCTTAAAATGAACTCAGTTGTGACATTGAGTCTTATTGTATTTCAGTTTGAACAAAAAAAACCCCTTTCAAAACGGTCATAAGAAATAAAAATTACTTGCTCTAAAACTTATAATAAAATGTCGACACAACTATCAGTTAAATATCAAATTTTTATTGTGAAAATCGCTTTTAATTTTAATTTTTCCGTTTACCTTGAAAAACTCATTTGTGAGGTTTGATCTATTGTACTTTCATTTGCTTGTTCTGTGATCACACTTTTTTTCGTTTTTTCGCCCATAACTAGACAGAATAAAATATTTATTATGATGACTGTTATTTAAAATAATTTAATTAGAAAATATTATACTTTACCTGGATATGGTCGACATCATAATTCCCGTAGTTTGAATTGTTATCATTTTATTATAATTAAAATAGTATTTAAAGTATATTTAAATACACTGTAATGAATCCAAATACAGTTAACAAAAAAAGTCAAAACAATTAGTTGAAAAAAATTATTATTCGCCAGCATGTTAGGAAAAAAACATAACAAATAGTAAATGATAAGAGAAAAAACAGAATAATATATGATAACATTTCTGTTGCCATGGCGTTGGCGTATGTTTTGCTGCCAGTTTGGTAACTTCCAAGGTGGATTTTTGAACTATCATACTAAAAACGTATAGTGGCTCGTCAGCATACTTAAATAAATATTAATTGTTCTATATTAAGATTATGTAATGTCATTATTTATTATGCAATTTTATTTTATTGTTTTTTTTTTAAATCACATTATCTATGATATAGTTAGGGATAACACCACCTCTCCCAAATTGCATACATTACCACTACACTAACCATTTTTTTCCATTGTACACTTTTTCCCAACGATCTATTTGTTATGAGTTGTGAGAATATGAGATCCCCTAAACTTGGTTTGGTAATTGCATAAATTACCAATTTGTTGATTTGTGAATTAATTTTTTTTTAATTTTAGCATGGCCGTTTTTGGGGGGGGGGAGGGGAGGGAACAAGGGAATTTTCCTCACACTACGAATTTCGATTTCGATTATATATTTTTTACTTAAATAAATAGTCGATAAGAAATTTTCGTTATTTTCGCCTTATACAAATTGTAATTTAATAAAACTGTACGTGTAAAATACTATTGCAGTGTACCTTCGAGAATAATATTATCGATTATGGATTATAAACAAGGCCATAGTACAAAATTCAATATTAGAACTGGCGGGAACGGCGTTGTAACACAGAACACTTCAGTACCTACACTGTTTAATAGGTACATATTGTTATACTTGATGGCATGATCTTAAGACTTTTTAATAAATTCTAAAATTATGAAAACTTCAATACGTTTTGTGCATTTAAGTGTACTTCTGTAACAAAGTACCTAACCTTTAGAAAATAATTTTATGTATTTTAAATATTGTTATACATGTGTTTTATAACAATGCGTCCTTTGTTTTATATAAATTTGATAGTGCTTGATATACAAACAGGAGTTGGCAAAAATTACAATTAATCACATTAGCCCTTTTGAGATCCCTAACACTACAATATAAGGTAGTCCCTAGTCCACCTCGCGTTAACATTTTTTTTTTCTTGAGACTGCGCTTAACAAAATTCGTATTTACCACTTGGATTGTTCTTATTTGTATAATAAAAGAAAAGTACAATAATTCACCCTTCTAGGCCAACCCTAAGTGGTTGCTAAAGATAAATTTTCTCCTACATAATTTTTATAAAGAAAAGGTATTTTTTATAATATATTAAACTAAAATGGGAAAAAAACAATTTAATGTTAGATAACAGATTAAATCTGTCATAGTATACTCTTCAGACTTATCAAATTTTTTTTTATACATATTCTGAAATCTGATAATTTCACTTTCATTATACCTCAACTAATTGCTGCATTTTAATAAAGATAGTCTAAGCTTGCAGAATCCTTTTTCTAAAGAGTATGCAATTAAAAATTGTAAGAAAATTACTATTTTCTATTTAGTTATTACGCATAGGTCAGTCATAGTATATTATATTAAAAACATTTGAATTATGATACAATAATGTGTAAAATTCCATACCATGTAAAAATATACATCATACGAATAAATCTTGAAATATTATATTAGTCAGTATAATTCATTAAACAAACAAAATGTAGTACAGAAAAATGTACAATACAATTTAATAAAAATCTAAAAGCTGTTTTTTTTTTATAAAATAGTCTAAAAAAATGTTTATATTATATATCGGAGAAGACACTCAGCTGTATGACTATTCTCCACCATGGGTCCGTTTGTGTTTTACCATGTTGGTTCTTTGGGAAAAGCGCTTAGAGCATATATCGCATTCGTAAGGCTTTTCACCAGAATGTAAGCGGTTGTGAATTCTGAGGGAAGATTGATCCACAAATGATTGTAGACATACATCACACTTGTATGGCTTTTCTCCAGTATGCGCGCGTTCATGTACTACCAAAGCGGATTTCACCGAAAACAATTTTAAACAAACATCACACTTATAAGGTTTTTCTCCAGTATGCACACGTTCATGTGATACCAGATTGGGTTTCGTCGTAAAAGACTTTAAACAAATGTTACATTTATACGGCTTCTCGCCAGTATGCAGGCGTACGTGTGTTACCAGACTGGATTTCACCGAAAAAGATTTTAAACAAACGTCACACTTGTAAGGCTTTTCTCCAGTATGCACGAGTTTGTGTTTTATAAGGGCTGACTTTTCATTAAAGTGCTTCAAGCACACAACACATTTGTAGGGCTTTTCTCCAGTATGCACGCGTTTATGTGTTGCTAATATGGATTTTGTGACAAACGATTTTAAACACACATCACACTTGTATGGTTTCACTCCAGAATGAACGCGTTTGTGTACTGTGAGGTAGTCTCTTATCATAAAAGATTTTAAACAAACATCACACTTGTAAGGCTTTTCTCCAGAATGAACTCGTTTGTGTACTGTGAGATTGTATCTTGACACAAAACATTTCAAGCAAACATCACACTTGTAAGGCTTTTCTCCAGTATGGGCACGTTTATGTTGTATAAGGTGAGGACTTTGTTTAAAACACATTAGACACACATCACATTTAAACGGCTTCTCGCCAGTATGTATGCGTTCGTGTGCTACCAGACTGCATTTCACCGAAAAAGATTTTAAACAAACGTCACACTTGTAAGGCCTTTCTCCAGTATGCACGAGTTTGTGTTTTGTAAGGCTTGTTACATGATTAAAGTGCTTTAAGCACACAATACATTTGTAGGGCTTTTCTCCAGTATGCACGCGTACATGTGTTCCCAGACTGAATTTATTCGAAAACGATTTTAAACAAACGTCACATTTGTAAGGCTTTTCTCCAGTATGCAGGCGTCCGTGTGTTACCAGACTGGATTTCGCCGAAAAAGATTTAAGGCACACGTCACACTTGTATGGCTTTTCCCCAGTATGCGCTCGTCCGTGTGATACCAGACTGGATTTCCTCAAAAAAGATCTAAGGCACATATCACACTTGTATGGCTTTTCCCCAGTATGCGCTCGTCCGTGTGATACCAGACTGGATTTCGTCGAAAAAGATCTAAGGCACATATCACACTTATAAGGCTTTTCTCCGGTATGGAAACGTTTATGTATTGTAAGGTATGAATTTCTAGAAAACGATTTTAAACAAACATCACACTTGTAGTGCTTTTCCCCAGTATGAACACTTTTATGACTTGTCAGAATGGACCTTTGTGAAAACGATTTTAAACACACGTCACATGAGTATGGTTTCTCTCCAGAATGAATCCGTTTGTGTACTGTGAGGTAAGATCTTTTCGTAAAAGATTTTAAACATATATCACACTTGTTAGGCTGTTCTCCCGTACGCATGCGTTTGTTTTTTCCTAGTAAAGGATTGATCGTTGACGTGTTGTGGAATTTTAATATGTGACGGATTATTTGCCTTTTAGTAAAAAACAATTTTTTACACAAATCACATACAAATGTGTTTGATTGCTCTTTGGTTTTTGTTTGTGCCAGTTGATCATTTACTTCAGTCTCATTCGCTTCCATGTTAATTTCACTAGAACAAACATTACAGTGCAATGTAAATGAATAGTTAGAAAAATATATTATAATATCGGTTTAAATTGTTTTCATAATAATATATTTTGTCTTATATTTAGTAAGTATAACTAATATACACAATCTAAAGCAGCAAAATTAAAGTATTTATTTTAGCGAAAATGCATTAGTGCGTAGTCCTTATACAAAGTGATCAACTCATTGTGAACCACTCAATATCTCACTGGGTTTAGGAATTTAATTTTTTCTTTACATAGTTTTTTTTTATGCAATGTGACTTCAATTTTTCACAATATTTTTTGTTTTTACTTTCATTCCAATTTAGTTTTTTTGATAGTCTTTTTTGAAACTTAACTGGTAACGAATACATTTCATTAACTTTTTAAATATTAATAATGTACTAAAAATGTTGACTTGTCAATAACCAGTTTTAGATAACTATTTTTGAAGTTATTGGAGTTTAGTTATTCAAGTTTAGGCAGGAGGAAAGGTGGAATAGTATTGTTTAAATCTGCGCGCATTTCCCAAACGCACTTCTCCTCCCATCCTAAATTTTAAACTATTATAACTTATAAATAGTTATCCTAAACTGGTTTTCGACCATTTAAACTTGTTTGTACATTATTATCAATTCAAAAGTTTAATGGGTTCTATCAAAAAACTAAGTTGGAGGGGGTAAAACAAAAAAAATTGTGAGACATTGAGATCACATTGTATAAAAACATTATGGAAAAAAAAAATTATTAATTAAGCCCAGTGAGTATATCACCCTGTATGTTATCTACCTACACTAGCTCTTAATTTATAAATAATCCTTTTTTTTAAAACAATTACACTTTTTGCTTTTAGTTGTCTCCAAATTATTTTATTACATTTTTGAAGGAGAAAATGTTTGACCGAATATATAGGGCATGCTACATAAACAACGATTAAGCCGGTTAGGAGATAACAAACAAAAAATCTAGACATAAAAAAATTAATGAATAAATACAATTAGTTCTTTAATCTCCTCATCAAAACTAAAATTATATTAATTTTATTTTAAACATACTAATATGCGTTACTAAGAGTTAAAACTATTATCAATATTAAAAAAATTAATTAATATAACACTTATAGGGTATGCTACATAAAAAAAACGATTTAGCCATTTAAGAGATAACAAACTAAAATTATATTCATTTTATTGTAAACATAATATGTGTTACTAAGGGTTAAAACTATTATTAATAATAACAAAAACGGCATCTATTAAGTAGAATTCTATTAAGTAGCCCTTTTTTTTTTTAAATCCACTGTCATTTGACAACGAGTAATTTACACTCTACAAAAAACAACTAGTCTTCTCATCTAGTACCATACAACTACCAAAAGACAACTTGTTTATTCCTAACATCAAGCAAAATTTTTTTGTATCAGTTTTTAAAAAAAATCTACCATACTTGTGTATATTTCTGTCAAATTTGTCTCGACAACTTTTTCTGGTTTCGGTGGTGTTCAAGTCATGTGATTCTGTTTTGTGGTGTTCCATAAGCCTTTTGGACGTAAATATTTTGTTACACTCGTTGCAAACAAACCACTGTATTGAGTAGGAATCATCCTTTGCCGTTATCTCATCCAAAAGCAAAATTTTTTCAATTTCCACAACAGTTTCGAGGCGACAACCATTTACTACATCTATTTCTTCAACTTTCACTTTAGGCTCGTTGCACGGTTCTTTAACACTAAAAACAATGTAAAACAATGAGTAACAAGTATATTCAGTGCCTGGATTAAGTATTATTATTAGATTAAACAGTATGTTTATACCGAGTGATTCTTTTAATGCCTAACACCAGTTTTCTCTCAAAATGATTAATATTTTGTAAGTTTTTTTTTTGAAAACTACAATATTAAACAATAGTCAAAATTGTATCTTTTTTAGTTTAGACTTTGGGTTCATTGCATGATTCTTTAATATTAAAAAAGGTGTAATTTAATATGTAATGGATATAATAACCGACTAAGATATGTTGTACCCGGTTAAACAGTATAATTTATATAAATATATATATATATATATATATCATAAACTGATTTTTAATAGTCAACTACAAAAGTATTTTAAAAATAATTAAATTTAATAGAATGTGCTACTTGAACTTGAAAAGCGTAATCGTATAACATACTACAAATATTATATATTTGTAGCTAGAAAAGTTTACAATGAATATTATACAGGGAGTGTAAACATAATGTATTCATTCAACCTGTATCAATTGACTTTTAAAAATGTACAGATTGTAAATATTTTACCTGATGAGTTCCGTGTTCAGCAGTTCTTTTTCTTCTTTTATTGTAATTGTGGGCTCGTAAAAACAACTATCAGTCCCTTCTATTTTTATTGGTGCCTCAATTTTTTCTTCATCAATGCTAAAAAAAATACATTTAAAAATTGGTCCGTGGTCTGAATTACTATATTATATGAAACTACAAATTACCTATCATAAAATGTGAAATTATTTAACACAACTGACCCGCTATGTATATTATTTGAGTGGCGGGACCCGTTTCCATGGCGTTTTTATGCGAATTCGCGTTTATGGTGGTAAATAGCTTTTGGTAACATCCCGATCATAGAAAAGTTTGGTCACGTTGGTTTTGCGTTGGTGGGTGTTAGAGCCAAAAATATGTAAGGTAAGTAGTCGGGCTAAATGCTGTATTTGAGATTATGATGATTAATAATTTCTGTGATGAGATCTTTGAACTTACAACTCAGAGTTTGAAAATTCTATAATAAAATCAGCAAAGGTAAACAATGTAGCCTTCAGCAACAAATGCTAACTCTCTGTTCTCTAAAATAAATAAAAAAATAAATAGGGAAATTGTATAGCCCCGTGCAAAGTCGGGGAATACAGCTAGTATATATACTAGTTGCCCTTTTGCAAAAGTTTTAATTGAAGAAAATGTTATAGCTATAAAAATCATTTTAATTTTTTCATAGGTACCAAGATAAAATAGATTAAAAACATGTAAAGCTAACTTGAAACTCTATTATACTTAAATCTCCCAAGTCAAATATCCGGTAAAAAAAAAATGAATACCTAATTTAATTAACCTAATTTTAAACTCATCATCATCATGTAGTTTAACAGGCCTTGAATGCGCAATGATAACATTGTAAGATAGTTTCGTGACAGCTTTGCTATTGGGATTGTTCGTCAGTCTGTCGCCGTAGAGGAGTAGCGTTTTCTTTTCACAAAAGAAAACCTACCTGCCTAGCAAATAGAACCACAAGACCAAATGTCAAACCAGCAATCATAAATGCTATAACACACATTACCCGCTCTGCCATGGACTATTTTAAAAACTAAAAATATAGCAAAAATACTACTATGATGGTTTAACTTATAAATTTAGTAGTGATAATAGCGTCTAATGACTTTTTTTTATCACTATTTACCTTAAAATATACTCAGTTGCGACGTTACATCTATTATATTTTCGGTTTGAACGAAAACCCCCATCAGAACGGTCAAAATAAATAATAATTACTTGCTCTAAAACTTATAATAATATGTCGATAAAACTATCACAGTTTAATATCAAATTTTTATTGTGAAAATCGCTTTTAATTTTACTTAACCTTGAAAAACTCATTTTACTTTACCTTGAAAAACTCATTTGTGAGGTTTGATCTATTGTACTTTCATTAGCTTGTTCTGTGATCACATTTTTTATCGATTTTTCGCCCATAACTAGACAGAATAAAATATTTATTATGATGACTGTTATTTAAAATAATTTATTCGAAAATATTATACTTCACCTGGATCTGGATTTGACATCATAATTCCCGTTGTCGGTATTGTTATAATTTTATTATAATTAAAATTGTATTTAAATGTATGTAATGAATCCAAATACAGTAAACAACAAAACTCAAAACTATTAGTTGAAAAAAATTATTATTCGTCTGCTTGTTAGTTGTTAGGAACAAATCAACAAAGTGTACTGTATACTGTATACTTACGATGTAGAGAAGATAAGGTGACGCCACTCCAACCAAATCAGTGGGTCAAGAAATTACGGCATTTTGGTAGTACAATTTTGTCACGTAGATAGCGCCACCATTCGCCCGGAGGCCGACTTTTACATGGAGCTAATAGGGTTTTTTTACATATTATTATACGTTACTGTCATTTTTATTACTAAATAAAAATATATTACATGTAATTTTATTTGATTACAGGACTATAGATTATATATTATTTTAAAAACCACAATATTCGTATATGTAGTCTAATTAAATGTACTATTTATTCTAATTCCTATTCCACAAAATACGTTTATAGTCGAACGATGACTATCCTTTTATAACAATATATGAAATTATTCTATACGATGTATAATATAATAACACGTATTATGTACAAGAAAAAATTTTCCTCAACCCCTCCCTCCCCCTTCCTATATCGAATTTTAAGCACCAGAGAAGTTTTTTCAAATTGAGTTTATAGTTGTTGAAGGCCTAAAGAATAATTCGTTGTAAAGAACAACGAAATTTCTGGACTTACAGTTCCGAAGATATTTTAATTCTTACTTAGGTAGCCGCAATTCCCCTTAACACTCAATAATTAAAATATAATTATTAAATTATTATTTATTTACTTCAAGTTCTAAATTACTTCAGAGAGTAACATTGTAACAGTTATATAATAAATACCTATAATATATTACTTAAAACACAATTTTTTTTGGCTCTGGGGTGTTTAAACCCGAACCCTTCCCCTGTAATACACCACTGTACATAACAATACATTCTTTCCGATTATTTTAATTTACCCCCGAAAAATAATTTGCATCACAAATAATTGTTTATATTTTGTGTCTACATAATAAACCGCGGCATATATAATTATAAAATACTGTTGTTCTTATTCATTTTTACAAATAACATTCATTGACTAATGTAGATCTTTTAGATTTATAATTTATTGGCAATATTTGCTCTACTATAGTTTTATTCTATTACTCTGATCTAGAATTTAGAAATTATGACCATGTATACTAATGACTAATTAGTATTGGAATACTACTTTATATTAGTAGAGTAGCTAAAATAATAAAATAAATAACTGTGCTGGGACAAAGACTAGATCAGAATAAATTTAATTTAATTAATTATGAAAGCTATATTCTAGTGCTAATATTTACTTTAATGCCGTTAAAAAACACAGTTTTCGCAATTAAAAAGTTAACAAAATAATTACTTATTACTAAATAAGACAATAAAAATAATAAAAACTCCAAATAAAGAATAATTAACATAAAAATAAAAAATAAAACGTTTATTGTCCATAAGCCGCATAGAAAATATCGGCCTCCGGGCGAATGGTGGCGCCACCTGTACAGCGAAGCTGAACTACCAAAATGCCTGAAGCATTCGACCCTAGATTTTTACTGATAAGAAGTTGAGTGGTGTCACCTTATCTTCTCTACATCGTGATCGTGTGTATACTATATAAAATATGATAAAAGAAAAACCAGAATAATATATTATGATAACATTTTTGTTGCCATGGCGTTGGCGTATGTTTTGCTGCTTGATATATTATCCTAAATTTTTATTAGTATTTCATTTGTTTATTATAATAAATGTAAAAAAATTATAAAAATGTCTGTACGCTTTACGCATTTGGGTGTACGTTTGTAATAAAGTACGTTAGTAAATATTTTTTGTGTTTTAGACGTATTGTTAACAAATACTGGTGTTACAGTTACCTAGTATTTTTGATTAAAATGATCTCTTAATTTTTACCGATTTAGTAAAATTTCTAATATATAAACAAGAGTTGTTAAAATTTACAATTATTGATGACATTAGCCCTTTCGAGATCCCTAGCTCAAGTCCAAGTTCTGCTTCTTGATATATTTTTTTTTTGCATTTGATTAACATGGTTAGGTTCACAGCAAAGAAGGTTCTATTTTAATGATTAATCATTTATTTGTTTAACTTGTGTAACACGTACAAACTTTATTTTTGTATAAAACTAAAAACATGCGTTTCTAAATCGGTCAAAAAGTTTTTAAAAATTATCCGATTTATATTAGGAAAAAAAATTGCACGCTGATGGTTACAAAACGCACGGCCACTTTAAGGCGGTCACGGCTAGTATACGTTTCGCAGTCGACAAAAAATACATAATTTTATTGTTTATAAGGACCTAGTATTAATATTGTCTTCACAATAATGTAATATATTACATCAATGACAATGGTTACCTGGGAACAAATTTTATTTGATATTTATATGTTCACTTGCACACATGCATGAGCGTTTTTGAATGAACACAAGTCCTAACAACCCAAAATGTGCAAAATACTAGAATTATAAAATTACACACCTTAATATTCTTTTTATTAATATTGTTATTCCATGTAAAATTAACACAATATATTTTCTTAGTTCAAAAAGTGTTTAAGATGTTCTATATTTATTCTGAACTCTTCCAAAATATCTTTGACGTTGCTCCAAGGCGAAGCTGAGTATAGGTATCATATATTTTAACAAGGATAAATCTCGTTTCTTTTTGCGGGTCAAGACCTATGATAGTTTTATGTACAGATAAGAATTAATATTACACTAATTTTATTGAGAAACCCCAAACAATTAAAGCAATGAATTATTATTAGTTTACAAGTAAAGTTCTTGTTTTTTTTTTTTTTATTTAGTTGTAGTGATACAAATAACACTAAAATTTAATTATTACAGATAACAAAGTGCACAGGACAGTGCTAGTATATATTATAACGTTTGATTAATAATACAACATAAATTAGTTAATATAAATCATTAAACAAACAATTTAAATTTGTAAGAAAATTACTATTTTCTAGTTATAATGGCCAAAAAAGTGCACGAGTCAGTCCTAGTATGTTATAACATTTGACTTATGATAGAATAATGTGTAAAATATCAAACCTTGTAAACATATACATTAAACGAAAAAATCTTAAAGTAATACATTAGTTAATATAATTCATTGAACAAACAAAATGTAGTATAGACAAATTCAAAACACAAATAAGATAATGAATGACTAAAAAGTATGACTGTTCTATTGTCCAACATGGGCTCGTTTGTGTAAAACGTTGTTGTTTTATTGTGCAAAAGCCTTAAAGCACACATTGCATTCGTATGGTTTCTCTCCAGAATGAACCCGTTTGTGTACTGTGAGGTAAGATCTTGTCGTAAAAGATTTTAAACAAATGTCACACTTATAAGGCTTTTCTCCAGTATGAACACGTTCATGTAGTGCAAAGTGTTGTCGTATACAGTATTAACTCGATACGCACAACGTGATACCTTTTAAAGATGTTATACTAGGATCCTTTAAGGTTGATCAAAGCCAATGCCCAGCCGTTTAAACCTTCCGGAACTATACTTCAGCCAGACGACTAACCCACACTAAGTAGTAATCAACCAGACGCCTAATACGGGTTTAATCGTAATTAAGGCCCATTTTCAATTATACCTAGTGCAAGATTAATGACTATTTCCGTAAGTATAGAACTTTAAAGAATAAAGACTATTTGCAATTTTGATCACTAAAAAGGTTGTCCTAGCACACGATATTTAAAAGGTAAACTTTAACTCTTAAAAATGAGACACCAAAAGGTAACGTTAATAAATAAATACGCAAGTCGAAAATATACTTAAGAAATAAAGTATAATGGCACAAAACAACAGTCGATACAATAAGTTCTCCACCTAGTTAATGCTAAGCGGAGAGACCTTCCCCGGGCCAAGCCCAAGAGAGTGCTCTTGACATCACAATTTGTACGGCTTTAAATAATAGAAATAAATATAATTTTCGCTGTATACACATTTTAACTGTTTGCCATTTGGCCTAGATACATTGCTTAGTTTCATAATTGTATTATAATAATAATACTATTTTCCTCGCTCCTACTACAGTGTGATTTTCTAGAAAACGATTTTAAACACACATCACATGTGTATGGCCATTCATTATTATGGACATGTTTGTGTAGTACAAGTTGAGTTTTTGAAGTACAACACTTGGCGCACACATCACACTTGTAAGGCTGTTCTCCTGTATGCACGCATTTGTTTTTTCCTAGTAAAGGATTGATCGTTGACGTGTTGTGGAATTTAAATATGTGACGGATTATTTGCCTTTTAGTAAAAAACAATTTTTTACACAAATCACATATAAATGTGTTTGATTGCTCTTTGGTTTTTGTTTGTGCCAGTTGATCATTTACTTCGGTCTCATTCGCTTCCATGTCAATTTCACTAGACCAAACATAACAGTGCAATGTAAATGAATAGTTAAAAAAATTTATTATAATATGTTTTCATAATAATATATTTTGTCTTATATTTAGTAAGTATAACTAATATAATAATGTATTTAGGAATATTGGGTACTTCTGTTATAGTCTTACTCTAAATGTACAGAAAGAACGCTTAAATAAGTGAAATAAAGAAAAAGGGTTTCCTCCCCCTTGACGAATAGGTTTTTAATTTTTTTTTCTTTAACAAAATATTGTATTGTTTTTTTTTTAGCTAGACATTTGACATTTAGTTAGATACTTAGCATATTTAACTATTTCGGATATTTTTAGACGTTATTTTGATATAAAAAAATGTAATCTTGTAGAGTGTTTTATTACATTTATGAAGGAGAAAATGTTTGACCAAACATATAGGGTATGCTACATAAAAAAAACGATTTAGCCATTTAAGAAATAACAAACTAAAATTATATTAATTTTATTTTAAACATAATATGTGTTACTAAGGGTTAAAACTATTATTAATAATAACAAAATCGGCATCTATTAAGTAGAATTCTATTAAGTAGCCCTTTTTTTTTTTAAATCCACTGTCATTTGACAACGAGTAATTTACACTCTACAAAAAAAAAACAATAGTCTTCTCATCTAGAAGACCATACGACTACCAAAAGACAACTTGATTATTCCTAACATCAAGCAAAATTCTTGTATTAGTTTTTAAAAAAAATCTACCACACCTGTGTATATTTCTGTCAAATTTGTCTCGACAACTTTTTCTGATTTCGGTGGTGTTCAAGTCATGTGATTCTGGCTTTTGGATGTAAATATTTTGTTACACTCGTTGCAAACAAACCACTGATTTGTGTAGAAATCATCCTTTGCCGTTATCTCATCCAAAAGCAAATTTTTTTCAATTTCCACAACAGTTTAGAAGCGACAACCATTTACTACATCTATTTCTTCGACTTTCACTTTGGGCTTGTTGCACGGTTCTTTAACACTAAAAACAATGTAAAACAATGTGTTACAAGCATATTTAACGCTCAGGTTAAGAAATATTAGGTTATACAATTTATTTATACATCCGTACCTCAAAATTATTCAAAAAAAAAAAAATTTAATTTCTCAGTTTTTTAGTTCAACTAGATTTAAATTTCACGCCCGATTCACTGATCTACATTATACAACATTTGGACTTTAAGTTCATCCATTTAAATTAATTACTAAGTAAATAGTTTAATATTTTTCTTTCTCCCGTAAAATTTAATTGTGGCATAATACACTTTTGCTCTGGGGTACGAATATATATCAAACAAGATGGCAACTGTAATAGCTAACTTAGCTGGCCTCAGCTAATGTTTATGAGTGGACAAAATTCTAGAAAAGTTCAAAAGAAAATAATTTAAAAATTATTAAATTAAATATAAAGTGTTATTGGAACTTGAATGGCGGTATCTCTTCAACTTGTTAACCATATAGAGCGGTGAAAAATATTTGCTGTGACATATGAACAGCAAATATTTTGATCATTAAAATTTTAAAACATTAAAACTAAAAAAAAAACAACTACACAAGTTACCACGATCGGTCCATTTGGGTTGAGGACGACCGCACCACTAATCCAAGTCAGTTACCAATTGACACTTTTCAAGTGATCATGAACAAGGAGGAATTTATAAATTTAGCTACTGTGGCAGTTTATATGTCCTTAAAAAAATAAAACGGATAATCAAATGGCAGAAAGGGTGGCTTTCAGCTAGACAATGTTTAAGTCATTTGCATTTGCTTCAAGAACTTTTCTTCAAAGAACTTCTCCTTATTATATGACACTGGAACGATGAAAGCTTTTTATGAACAGTTTCCCTATTGGCGTTAGGGTATTTAAGAAAAAAATAAAAAATTTCTAGTATTTCAACGAAGGCTTGATTTCTTACATAATTTTTCATCATCGTTCAGTGTCAGTCATTGTTTTTTAGACATTTTATAGAATTTAAATAATTCATATTTTGCCATGAAACAGGGGTAATTTTTTTGCTTTTAATTAAAATAAACTAAATTTGAATGTATATTTGTACCTAGGAAAATTTACAACGAGTACTACACGGGGAGTGTAAACATAATTTATTCAACCAGTCTTAATTGAATTAATAATATTAAATATTTTACTTGGTTTCTTCCGAGTTTGAAGGATTATTTCTCTCTGCTACAAATATCATAGTTCCGTTGTCACAATCATATGTTTCATCTATTTCAATTTTCACATTTGACTCTTTTATTACTTCATCGATACTAAAACATTGAAACGCAATTGATTTAAAAAATTGTGAAAGATTTCATTTTAACAATATGTTCTAAGTTAGGGTTTAACAAAGTATTGTAGAACAAGATACAATAAATTATATAACTCCCATTAACCATTACAATGAGACAATGATCTAACTAAAGAACTATAAGGTATCATAGCTACGTAAAATGAGAAATATATCTTATGCATATTTTGTTAAAATCAAATCACTTTTTTCAGATACCGAGAAAAAATAGATTGAAAATATGTAAAGCTAATTTAATATACGCTATCATACTTTTAGAAAACCAGTAAAAAATCCCATCAGATACTTAGTAAAAAAAAAATAAATAAATACCCAAAGTTAAGAGTTAAACAGACGTAAGGCACAATGCTATCATCGTCAAATAGTTCCTTATCAAATTCACTTTCAGCAAGGTTTTTCACTGTTGAGCGGGATAGACTTTTCTTTTCACAAGACGATTACCATTTGAATAAAAAATCCCAATGGGCACGGTCGGGGAAAAAAACCAATTACCCGCTCTATTACTCAGAATAAAACTCGTATGTCAAAACTACTGCTATCGTGTTTTATTTTAAAATTGTTAATAGTCGAAATAGCTTTGTATTTTTCTTTTACCTTGAAAAACTCAATTGTGAGGTTTGATCCGTTGTACTTTCATTTGCTTGTTCTGTGATCGCACTTTTTTTCGACTTTTCACTCATAACTAAACAGAATAAAATACTTATTATGGTGGACTGTTATTTAACAAAAAAGTAATCCGAAAATATTATACTTCACCTGGACCTGGAATCGACATCATAATTCCCGTAGTCTGTATTGTTATAATTATATTACTTATTACAATTCTATTTAAAGTAGATTAAAATACCCTGTAATTAATTCAAATACAGTATAATAACACAACTATTAGTAAAAAAAAAATATATTATTCGTCCGTCGGCATGTTAGCAACAAAATATAAGAAATAATAAATGATAAGAGAAAAACCAGTACATTTGTGATAACATTTCTGTTGCCATGGCGCTGGCGTATGTCTTGCTGCCAGTTCGGTATTTCAAAGGGGTAAATCACTATGAAGTGCTTTTTAAAATGATGTGTTGATTTTTCGATTATTTTTTTATTAAATCGGTTGACTTGACTCTGTTAGAATATTTTTTTTTATCTTTTTTAAAAAAATTTCTAAAATGATTAAAATATGTTTTGCACAATTTAGCGTACTTCTGTCAGAAAAGTACCTTTAGTAAATGTTATGTATTTTAACGAGAACGGTTTCACAGTGAATATGTACCTTAAATAATGCACCCTTTGTTTTTTACTGATTAAGTTTTAAATGCTTGATGTACATACAAAAAGTTATTAAAATTACAATTGGCTCTTTTGAGATCCAATCAGATCTATCGTTATAGAGTATACCGATATAATTTGGAAACGTCCAAAGACTTAAAATAATTGAAGACCGATTTATAATTTTTACATAAATGTACATCATCTCTGATCGTAACCTATTACAATATTTTAAAGGGAAAGATTTGATTGAAAATCATGTTTTTAGTTTTCATAACACCATTACATAAATATAAATCCATTTTTTTTTCTTCAAATTTGTAAGGATGATGGCAGAGAATAAAAAATGGAGAAATCTTACATTTTAATACTTATACAGAATTTTTGTTTTTTAAGCAAAATAATAATTTTTAAAAAAGTTTTTATTTTAATATTTTTTTCCATTTGATTAAGAGGGCGTCGCACCGCCCATTTTTAAGGAGTAAAGTATGGCAATTTTTTACAAAATCTTAATTTAAAGGTTAAACTGTGATGTGTAATTATTAGTTCAATAACTAGGACTCTATTTTGATAGTTAATTTATTTTTTGGACTATCACAGCATCCTTGAAAGCGATTTAAAAATGTTTTTTTCATCTCTACATGTTTAAGCAGACTGAAAATAACTCACTTAATGTTGGTTTTTGAGTAAAAGCACCCCTTATAAAATTAAAAGAGAACAATATTCCGGAGGGCAAGACGGTGCGTTTTTTTTCATTATTCCAAGTATAACGCTCAATACATGTTTTTACCACTGAAAATTACCGGTGCGACGCCCTCTTAACGTGGAAAACTTTGTTTTCATTTAAAAAATTCTAATTTAAAGACCAATTAAAAATGTTTTCAATTTAAGTGTACATTAAGTTGAAATATAAAACTTGAAAATCTTCTATTGATACATTGTGATAACATATTTTTTTTAAGACATTTTGACTGTAAGAGAAAGTCTAAGCAGAATTGTTTACCAAAGAGTTTGAAATTTAGAATCATCAAACAAAATAACTGTTTTTTTATTTAACCGTAATAATACAAACAAAATAGAGAAATGCAAAAAATTTACACAAATTACTCGATATCTAAGAGCTGTATTTTTATTCACAACAAAAATCAAATATTGTTTGATAAATTTGCAGAATGGACATGCCGACTGTGTCGCGTAAGGTGTGATCTCACCGTAAACGATTTTACACAAACGTCACACGTGTATGGTTTTTCACCAGTATGCTTACGTTTGTGCCGGATAAGTTTAGAATTTTGGTTAAAATTCTTAGGGCAGACGTCACATTTAAATGGCTGTTCGCCAGTATGCACGCGTTGATTTTTTCTGAGTAAAGGATTTTTATTGGGTTTTGTTCTTGCCAGTTGATCATTTACATCAGTTTCTTTCGTTTCATTGTTAATTTCATTTACACTACAAACAGAGTGCAACATAAAGTAATAGTTAAAAAAATGTATTATAAAAATCATTTTAAATTTTGCTCATAATAATATAGTATTTTAAATTAAGCAAGTATAGTTCATATACACCCAACATAGAACAGCAAATTTAAGGTATTTATTTGAGAGAAAACCCATTAGTGCCTAAATGTAGTCTATATTTGTTACTCCCTACCTTCAATTTATAAAATACTCCTTTTTTAATAATATTACACTCCTTGCTTTTAGGTGTCTCCTTATTTTTTTATAATTATACTCTGTGTCTATATTTTTCTATTTTCTTTTTGCCACTAATTACTATCATTTCCTACTTGCTAAATATAAAACCAGTCTCAACTGAATTTAAAAAAAAAGTAAAAACAATCTGAACTGAACAAGTTACCACAATGGGGACCAAATGGTTTTTTATAATTAATTAATACAAGCCAATAATAATCTATCCCGATCATAAAATATATTTGGGTTTTGTAACAGTAATTTTAGACCCATTTGTTCAAGAGAACAATACTTTGTACATTTTACAAAAGTTAACCTGAACGTAATTTATCCAGCCAGTCTCAATTGAATTAAAAAAAAATATATTGATTATAAATATTTTACTTAGCAAGTTCTGTGTTCAGCAATTCATTTTCTTTGTTTATTTCTATTGTGGTCTCATATAAACAATCATCTGTACCTTCTATTTGAATTGGTGCCTCATTTTTCTCTTCATCAATACTAAAAAATAAAATGCATTTAAAAAGTAGTCCATGATCTGAATCACTATATTATTACAAATAGTGATTTATCACAAAACGTGAAATTATATAAGCAATAATAATATTGTAAATGTCTTATTGAATGAACACTGTAAATATTTTACTTGGTAACTTCTGTGATCAGTACATCATTTTCTTCCTTTTTTCTTATCGTAGGCTCGTAGAAACAATCATCTGTTCCTTCTATTTTAATTGGTGCCTGATTTTTCTCTTCATCAATACTAAAAAATCAAACACATTTAAAAATTGGTCCATGGTCTGAATTTACTATATTATATGAAACTAAAAATAACCCATCATAAAATGTGAAGTTATTTAACACAACCAACCCGCTAAGTACATTATTTGAGCGGCGGGAGGTGTTTTCATGGTCAGACAGGACTTAGTATACTTAAATAAATACAAATATTCGAAATATTTGTTTAATATTTTTTTTATGCAGCTAAATTACTGAAATAAGTAATTTCATAGCAAATATTTTGTTTATTATTTTATTTATATAAAAAGAATTTAAAAAATATATATATACAATTTAATATAAGGATGCAATATTTTTTAAAAAGCTATGACCCCCATGAGGCTCCAATGCTATTGTCCAAGTTTAGATTTAAACATCTAAGTAAAGTTTTTTTTTTATGTTACAAAAGGACGATGTGATTAAATTATTATTTTAAATGGTGGTTGCTGATTAATATACATTATGTTGATGATGTTGACAGAGATCATACGACTTTCTATAAAATTACAATTATTTTCTAAGCCCACTGTCATTTGATATTAGGTATTTAGGCTCTACAAACAAACTTCTAGCCTGCTCGGCTAGGATACCATACGACTACGAAAAGACCACTTGTTTTTATCCTAACAATAAACAAAACTGGTACCTATGTTTATGTTTTTCAAAAAAAATCCATCTCACCTGTGTACATTACTTTCCAATTTGTTTCGACAACTTTTTCTGGTTGCGGTGTTCATATTATGTGATTTTGACATGTGATAGTCCAAACTTCTTTTAGATATAAATATTTTTTGACACTCGTTGCAAACAAACTGCCGTCGAAATCGCACTCTGCTGTGAGCTCATGCAATAGCTTATTTTATTCAACTTCTACTATGAGCTTGTTGCACGTTTCTTTGACACTAAAAACAATGTATAACAAGTATATTCAGCGCCTAGGTTAAGTAATGTTAGGTTTTTCAATATATATATAATATCGAAAATTGCAAAACCAACTAGCAAAATATGTAATAGCTAGCATAAATATATGTCCATGTCATAATATAGATAATAACTATATTATGACAAGAAACTACTATTTCCATATTAGGGTATAATAAAATATTGCAGCCCAAGCTACAATAACACTCCATAGAATCATAACATTTTGAACAACTATTAATAAATTTGATACTCCTATTTACCATTACAATGATACAATGGTGTAATAAAAGAACTAAAAGCCATCATGATATGTAAAAAAAAATTTACAACATCTGTATTTTGTTAAAACTGCGTCACTTTTTTCATATATCGAGAAAAAATAGACTAAAAATATGTAAAGCTAGCCTAAAATACCATCATACTTTTAATTAATAAGTCAAAAATCCCTGCCAGACACCTTCCATAAAAAAAAAAACAATTAATACCCATTCAGAACTCCTCATCATCACGTAGTTTAACAGGCCTTGAAGGCGCAATGTTCCGTGGTTTCTTGACAAATTAGTTTTTGGAACGGTTCGTCACTGTAAAGGATATTATAGTGTTTTCTTTTCACAAGACAATTTCCCGCCTAGCAAATAGAACCGTAAGACCGAATATCGAACCAGTAAATGCCAACACACCGACACATTAACCGTTCGGCCACTGGTCCTCCTCAAAAATTCATAATATTACAAATCAACAACTATAATGGTTCAACTATTATGGAAAAAAACTCAGTTGTGACGTCAGGACTAATGTACTTCCATTTGAACAAAAATCCCTAGACAACATCATTACTAGTTATATAATAAAACATATTTTATTATAATGGCTGTTATTTAAAAGCCAATGTAATGCAAAAATATTATACTTTACCTAGATCTGAAATCGATAATCCCCCGAAGTAGGTGTTTTTATTATATATTAAAATAGTATAAAATGTATATTCAAATGCGCTGTAATGAATCGAAATTCAATCAATGAAAATATATCAGTTAAAAAATACTATTATTCGTCCGTTTTCGAGAAAGACCGAACAAAATGTAATAAAATAAAAGCATGGCAATTCAACATGGCATGCCGCCAGCCGCATGTCTGATATCAGCAAGATAAGTGATAACAGCTGATAACAGACTTGGAGGAAACGTTAATATGTACACGGATGAAAATAATTCCCGGTAAACTTTGTTTCTAGGCCAGTAGGAATAACTTTGTTTACTGACCAACTTGTCTACTTCTGATTTATTATAACCTTCGATTTTTTTTATACAAAAATGCACACCAATAAGATCTACACACGAGAACAAAAAACAATGACAATTTTGTACATTTGTTTTCTCGTCGAGTTGACGTGTTTTTCTTAAACTTAATATTTATTTTATGAATTAAGAAAATTAGATAATATGAAAAATACATTTGAAAAAATGTGTATTAAAACAACTAATGTACTAAGTCTACAACCAAAGTCTACCTGTTTAGTAAAAATTGTCAACTTATGAAATATTATTTTATACAATTTTAATTAAAAAAATGAATGTATTGAATTCGATAAATTCGTACATTATTTTGGAATTCGATCGACTTACCTACATACAAATACTAAATAATGAGTACAACAAAGCCAGCTCAATGGGGAGGGGAGGGATCAAAAGTGCAAACTCAAAACACAAAAAATTGTTTACCTATGTCGGTTTTGCGTCGCCTAAAACCGCAGTCCATCTATCAAAAATTTGATTTTGAAATCGTAACAAAATGAAATACGGTAAGTATGCGATCCGGATAATATTTTTGTAAGCACAGAAATAGGTTTTCTCCATTCTGTAGTATATTGTACCTATACAGGGTGTTCCATTTGATGTAAGACACCCATATTTCCAGAAAATATTAATATTTTGAGAATAATTTTTTCCTATACTTGTAGGTGCATATTTTTTTACTATATTTTTCAATATTTGGACCTTTTTTTTCTTCATCACTTGTACGTAAAACAAGCAGGTATGGACTTGTTTTTTTTTAGTACTTTCAAGACGTATAGGGAAAAAATGATTTTCAAAATATTCATATTTTCCCGAGAAAATGAGTGTTTAATTCTTACATCAGGCGGATCACCCTGTAGAGTATGCTTATATAATTAGAACAACGTTTTTAAGACTTAATATATTTGAAGTATCAGTATTATCATGCCTATTTTAAACGTTTGTAAATTGTGTAGTCTGTAGAAGTGTGTATTAAGTAAAAGATGAAATATTTAATGCTGTCGAAAATAAGTGTAAGCAATGTGAAAGACATACATCCTAATTCTGGTAACCAATCAATGTGTTATGTTAATTATCAATTATCATCGGGCAGCAAGAAACTATTCTAGCTTGCAAAGACAATTATTGATTCCAGTTACAGATTTATGTAGGTACGTTTTGGCCAACAGCAGCGCGGTGTTCTTAAATAATGACGATAGCAGCTAATTTTAATGAGTCAATTCCGTTGTTAAGCTCGTGTGTCATAAAATATGCTATTATTATAGATTTAAAAATAAGAATGTTTTTTTTTTCATATTCTATATTAACTATTATTACACGTCATATAGTACCTATCAGACATAGACATTGTTAACCCCCCGCTAGTAATTTTACTAGCTTTTGTTGGCGCGGCTGTTGTAGGGGTTGGCTAGCTTTTATTATATCTCATGCAAAAAGGGATAAGTGTGCTAAAATGCAGTATTCGAGATTTTGAGCTTTAACTATAATAATATAGAAGAACGATAAAATTTGGGTAGAGATGATATAGCGTGATAAATATCACGAATTTTCTTGGTTGACTGGATGCCTATGATACAAAATCTTAAAAAAAATTTTTTTTTAAATAACACTTGTCTGTAAAACAAATAAATTTTCTGCTCGGTTTTTGTCAGAAAATAATAAATTTGCGTGTAATCAAAAAACGTTTTTAATTTTACACACCACGGTAGGTACACGTGATCAACTCGTATGAAAACTTTCACAAGACAACGTGTACAAACTGTTGGCAAGATACACATTTTTTTACAATTTAACGACAGCATAACGCGTCTTGCGATTATGATAGGTTGGTATTAGTTTATAGTTACACAAAAGACTTGTATTTTACTATAGTATAAATAAAAATATAAAAAATAACAATGATTGTAAACATTTATGGATTTTTGCTATGTTGTTTGGCTATAACGTCAAATATAAAAACAATCCGATCAGCAGGTAACCACCGGGTAAGGATTTTTTTTCAACTACATTTTTTTCTGTAAAATAATTTCGATTATATTGGTGTCCCACGCAAATTTGACACATTTTGTTCTAGTGAATATTTTTATTTTTTTTTTTATTGATTTATACTCATTTGTGCTAGAAACACCACGGTTTGGCTTTTAACTGTTGTACCTTTTATGGTTTACAAGTAACTATCCAAAACCAGTTATCGATCAGTCAAAATTCTCAGCAAACTATTCTTAATATGGATATCTTGAATTTAAAAATAGTTATAAAAAGTAAAACACAAAAAAAGTCATTAAATTAGTCAAATCTTTGTGAGACACCTGTATTTTGCGGTAGATAGCAGTTGTAAAATATACCAAATGCTATAAAATGACAATACCGAAAAGTCAATCTTAATTTGTATTGACTCGGGGCTTTGTAAAAAATACACATACAACATTGGTCATTTATTTATACAAATGAGATGTTTTTATTAATTTGTAGTCATAATAATACATTTTCAGACAATATAATCAGAATAAACTATATATTTAACAACTGCATCATACTGAAATTAAGTTTATTTTATTTTGAAGCAAAATAATCATTGAATAAATCATAGATTGTCTATTGAGGCTGTCCAATTTACGTTTTTGTTTTAAATTACAATTATTTCGAGTGATTAAACGAAATTGGTTTATTATTAGAGTTACAGTTTTATAATTATATAAATATATATATATTTTTTAGGTTACTCCTACACGGTTTTTCCTTCAAAAATCTGAATCACGCTATTTGCAAACCTTAAGTAAACTGAAAACATTCAGAAAACCTCCAATTAAAATGAACACCACATACATGAACATTTTGTCATCGCCTTATTGTGACAGTGTTGACGATTACAAATCAAAATTACAAAGCCGGTCTAAATTAGAGAGAAAAGCCCAAGACATAAAATGTAGTTTTTGTGTAATTGCCAAATCAAACATACGGCACATGATTGATAAGTTAAACAGCGAAGAGGCTTTCGTCGATCACATGGAAACCGTAAAGCGTTATGAAGAGGAAGCCAAATGTATACTTGAAATATTGCTGACGTCGGATTTAGAGACTGGCAAATGGCTTTGGATATATTTGTTGAGAGATTGTTACGAGAGTCGTCGACAGTTTCCAAGACTATTTGACCGGACTAAAAGCCTTGCCGTTCGAATATAAAGTGCTTTTGCATTTTATGGACGTAGTTAAATGGTCGGCTACTCAATATATGTAATACGTTTTTAAATAATAACACAAATCACAATGTTCATAAATAATTTTGTTATAACGAAATTAAAAAAAAAAATAATAATTGCAATTTTCAATGATAATAGTGTCATTCCCATGCATGAAAGCTTCAACGCGTTCATATTTTTGAAGTTTTCGAAGTTTCAAGTTTAGGGCAGGTGGAAAGGCGAAGTGTAGTATTATATATTTTGTCTGCGCGCACTTCTCTTCCCATCTTAACTTTTAAACTCTTATCATTTAAAAAATATTTGTTCAAAACTGGTATTCAACCAGTCAAAATTTTAAAGAAAATATTCTTAATTTAAAAAGCCAATAAAATATGTACGTTTATAAAATCCAATATTTAAAGAAAATGTTTATTTTATTTTTGAGAAATTTTCTAAAATCAATTTTTCTTAATTCATTCAAATAAAAATACTCATATTCATAGTTCAAAGAATACTATCTATACTTTACATGTAAATTATGAAATGCTAAAGATACATTTTTACTCATTCAAACTACATCAAAAGCAAAACTTAGTATTGTTTAATAATTCCATGACATTTGGATTGCCTCCTTTTGCCCCTGAGCACAGTATTATTAATACTACCGAAGTACTGTATTTTACTGATATAATTATTTTTGATAATTAATTAATGTAATTCAATCACTACTGTTGTTTTAAAATTAACAAAATTAATATGAATTCGAATGATAAGTTGTAAATGTTAAGTTGTAAGTGATAAATGTTAACATTATATTACCAATATTTCTTTGTGGCAATAAGGTTTACTTAGTGGTAAGGTATATTAACGTGTAAACAACTGAAAATGTATACACCATTTGTGATAGGTACAGATAATATTTTTTTTTTAATCCGGAACTGGTCGAGTGATTGAGTAACTACAAACAAATTGATTATCTAGAATTTTCCCTCTTAGGCCAAAATATTATTATTTTTATACATTGATTGTTTGCATTTTGTCTGCACGTTCAGTGAGTTAACAACTCTATTCCCTTTTGTTTTAATTTTAATCTATTAACTATAATCTACATTATAAATACAAATTACTGTATTCATAGGTATTTTGTTTTTTTCTCGTCGTTAAGTGACTTCTTATATGTGTTTAGAAACGGGTTTTCATATTTTTCGTAACATGGTTTTGATATGTTACATAATAATAAAAATTGTTCAAAAACAGTTCCATGGTGGAAGATGCATTTTGACTAGGTAAAAACATAAAACCCACAGCCGTTTAATAAAGTTTTCTAATTAGACGACAAAAATGTATGTAAAAAAAACAAAAATAATAATAACATTAGTTTTAAGAAAGTTTATCGAATATTTATTTTATCTTATAAACAATATACATTTTTCCCCTCCCATGAGAGAGGTGCTATAAATTATTGTACACCGTCAGCATATCGAGCGGCAAATATTATTTAAATTGAATAAAATTTCTTGTATTAAAAAAAAAATGAGTCTTTGATTTTCTCTAAATGTATAACACGTATGTGTTGACACTTTTCACAAAAACATCATAAATTCGCCTGTCGTCCTATGACGAAATATTACAGTTGTGAAAACATTCCAGA